ACTTGGAAGTGACTGGATTCCAATGCAGCTGCTATCTTTGACTTCCAACGTAAATTTGGGAGATATTTTAGAAGGTGCTTTGGCAAGTTGTTGGATTGTGTTGAGCTTTTTGACTATTGTTGCAGCTGTGCTCATCCATGTAAGTGGAGAATATTCAATGGCAGCTTTAAACTTGCCTTGTCGATATTGGAAGCATTTTGAAGGAGTTAGGACTTGAGTCATTCACTGCAGAATTCCCAGACTCTGATCGTTCTTGTATGTACACGGCTGGTCTGATTACATTTCTGATCGATGGTAACTCCAAGTTGTCAATGGTAAGCAATTGAGCGAGTAACGCCGTTGAAAGTTAAATGGAGATATTCCACTAAGAAAACTTTCAGATAATTTTTTGTCCAATTTATAAGCAAAACTTTTGTATGGCATGACTTTAATCACCTTCAGAATACGTTCATGATCAGAACTCTACAGGTCAAACAAGATAAAAGAGTGTCAAATAGAGGAGAATCTTTGAGAGAAGTTATTTCGCTTTGAAGGGGAAATTTCATTCTACTGATGAGTTCCAAAATGAATGAGATGACAAAGAGTAAAATTGTCACATCAGAAATAATTTAAGAAAGTTCCTTACTTAGTTGATAAATCTTATAGGCACGTACAGTAGATGCCCTCACTGTTTGACTTCATTAGAGTCCTTTCTCTTAGTTTTATATATAAATACAAACATATAAATGGGCAATTCTCCATAACCTTTTGTAATTGGTATTCTTTTGTTGTGTACTTTTACAGAGATAAATAACCACAGTGCAAATACTTGATGCACTTGAATATTGACAATGTAGGATATTATTATGCATGGAGACTTGTTCAATTTGTCATAGATTTCCAAGCACTGGCTGGAATTCTGCAAGAAATTCTCATTCAGGTAATTTTCATAAAGTGACAGCCAAGGTTGGGAGTGCTTTAAAATGATCTTAAAGCCACATTGCTGTTCACATTCCCTCTGTGCTCTGAAAAGCAATGTCTTGGAAATACTTGAATTAGACTTGACGACTTATCAGCGTGCCCCACAGGTTGACTAGAGACACAACCTGCTTTTGCCAGTTATGCCCATCTAAATGCCATGCAACAATGCCACAGTACTTCTGCAAGATTGCATGGGACGGGTGGAATTTGATGTTTGCGGGGAATCGGGCCATCCGCTGGCTGGAGAGCTGGTGGCAACCCTTTCCAGGCATTTGATGGGAGTAGTTCCCGGTAAAGTGGCCTGTTGGCTGCTCTCATGATTGCCAAACCCTGCAAGGAAATTTCCTGCCTCCAGCTCAACAGTAATAGCAGGGCTATGGGAGTGGAGGCCATTGGCAGTACTCCAGCCAATGCAGGGAAGAATGGTCATCAGCATAAAGGAGAGCAGGGTGACTTTCTGTGGTCCTGCCATTCTGCTAGCAGTCACCACCATTGAACGCAGGATGCCTGAGAATGAGGGACCGCCACCACAAGGGTAATACCCTCTCCAGGTATTAAATTCAGTGCCATAAGCACATTGCATTGACAAAAGACCTCCCTTAACATTATCTGTGTGAAATGCTGGAGGAGAAAGGCAACACTTGTCTTGCCACTGGTATTCTTTGCAGTCTCAAAGGCTCAAAGTGCAGTTCTGATCACATGTGATATGTTGACCTACTATGAAGGAACACTGCAACTTGGACTTCAGTTTGCACACCCAGGTCCTTCTTGCTGGAGGTATTCCAGTGCCCTGTATTCACCTTCTGAAACTGTACCAACTGCACCATCTCACTGGGGAGCTCATCTGTAGAAATACAAATGAATCCGCATGATTAGATTGCACACTGGACTGTACAGTGTTAACAGGAAATAATGCGGTGAGTCATTAGTTGACTTTACCGCATAGTAAATAAATGACCAGTCATTATACACACTTTATAATGAGAATATCCATTTTTAGTCAAAAGCAACACAGAACTTAGATCATAACTTACCAACTCTTGGAGTTGTCTTCAAGGTGTGGGTAATATCATTGCGATGCTGTAAATTGATTATCTGGGCAATAGTTTTCTCCAGGCTTGTTAGGAATTTCCTTGGTGACCTTTTGGAGTTCAATGCTGTAGACCTGATCTTTCTGATTAGGTAAAGTCATTGATTCCCTCTCAATAATCAATAGCATTTCCACTCCTTAGAGCATTGGTTTAGTCCTTTGGTAATACTGACCCATGTCTTAGCATCTGCCAAGGATAGAATGGCTTTCTGTCTTGGAAAAAGATTGTTTTTCTGGATTGAATTACTGGGGGATAAAGTTCTCCTTTGCTGAAGCATGATCTCACGTATCATTTTCTCATACTAAGTCAGATCATTTTATGCAGGTCAACTGGCTCACTTACACGGATAAAAATATCAAATTTGTATAAATAAACCAACACTTGTTCAGAAGGTTACTATTTCCGCCGATTGTATGTTGAAGTCCAGAGTAACCACAACTGCGTTCGACGATCATAAATATGCAAAATGTTATGTTAATCTGTTTGAAGTGTCTAACAGATGAAAATAATTTCCCATGGTCTGCAATAGTCTTAAAAGTACAAGTTAATGGAAGAGATACGGAGGAACATACTTGCTGACTCATTTGTATGCTAAAAGGTAAAGTTGTCACCGTCCCTAGGCTCTCAGGTGGTTTAACCTGAAGATCATCACATCTCAAGCAAGGGAGGGCATTGAGAAGGAGAGTCCTTCATGTTAATCTCAGCTGCTGCAGCAGGATTTGAAGCCATATTGTTGATATTACTCTACATTGCAAACTAGCCACCCCGCCAACACAGTTAACCAACACCTGATAGGTAATCTGCATCCATATGTTATAACATGAATAATCAAAGGAGTTTTGGTGGTTTGGCAATCTAGTGCACAGTACATGACAGTAACTATGGCTAATGCAGTGGGCAATTGAAAATAGCTGCAGTGAAAATTAAGTACCCAAAGTACCTCAATAATAAAGTTTGGTAATTGAAATCGATATCAGATTTGATTCAAAGACAAGAATAGAAATTGCTGGAAAAGCTCAGCAGGTCTGGCGGCACCTGTGGAGAGAATCAGAGTTAACGTTTTGGGTCAAGTTCTGAGGAAGGGTCATTAGATCCTGAAACGTTAACTCTGATTCTCTCCACAGACGCTGCCAGACTTGCTGAGCTTTTCCAGCAATTTCTATTTTTGTCTCTGATTTACAGCATTCACAATTCTTTCGGTTTATTCAGATTTGATACATTTTTATCATTATGAATATTTGTCAGCTTTCCATTGATGTTCTTAGTCTTCAGCTCTTTAACAAGCCCAGAACCAGCCTCTATGTATATACAAGGTTCTTTCAAGCTCCCCAGTTCACAGCTGAACTTCACGGAAGACAACTATTGTAAATCAATAAGCAGAAAGAATAGTCCTGCAGCATAGCAACAATAAATGTAAACACTCTCAATGACAGGGTATATTATGTGCATGCACACGCAACATGAGTCACGGGACAAAGAAACAACAAACAGGGCCAGACATCTGATTGTGTCCACTTAATTTCCAGTTAAATAAATTTCATTCATATCGCAGTTTTTTAGTAACAGATAAACTCAGCAGACCTGGGCTGGTTTTGGCTATGGATTTGGAATCTGAACAACCACAGTACTTTCCAGTGACTACAGCTGGTAGCTTCATTGTCCACATTCTTCTGCTTAAAATGCCCATGATGTCCACAACCTGGACTCTCACTTCATCAAGTGAATGTATACATTTTATATTGTGGTAGCTTTTGTGACAGCTTTAGGAAACTGGGCTATGCAAAGACGGAACTACAGTTTCTCCTACCTTGGGTAAATACAGGGGCGAGTTTTGAACATAAGCTAAAATCAGCAGCTCTGTGCGAAGAGAGAGGGAGAATAAAGTCAACAGGAGGTTAAGTGTTGTCATAGTTATTGCCAAGCATTATTATTAAGACCATATGATATAGGAGCAGAGGCAGACCATTCAGCCTATTGAATCTGCTCAGCCATTCTATGAGATCATGGCTCAACTCCATTTTCCTGCCTTTTCCCCATAACTCTTGATTCCCTTTACTGATTAAAAATCCATCTACTCCAGCCTTGAATATAATTAATTCCCCAGACTCTGCAGGCCTCTACGGTAAAGAATTCCACAGATTCAATTCGGTGGGAGAACATCTGACTTATGAATGCTTGTACTTATGAACACAGCCTCATACAGGAAGTGTAATTTCAATGACCTGTCATTTCCTGTACTTAGAAACAGCTCCTTTACTTGCCCTGAGATAGTAGGAACTGCTGATGCTGAAGTCTGAGATAACAAGGTGTAGAGCTGGAGGAACATAGCAGGCCGGGCAGCATCAGAGGAGCAGGAAAGCTGACGGCTTTCTGCTCCTATGATGCTGCTTGGCCTGCTGTGTTCATCCAGCTCTGCACCTTGTTGTCTCGGATTCTCCAGCATCTGCAGTTCCTGCTATCTCAGACCCAAAACGTTAGCTTTCCTGCTCCTCTGATGCTGCCTAGCCTGCTGTATCCTTTACTTGCCCTGCTTTGTTTCTGACTTGTATACAAACCAATTTGTGAACGGACTCCAAATTAGAACCTGTTCATAACCTGGGGACTGCCTGTATCCTCAGAGAGAAGAAACCCCTCCTTATCTCTGTCTTCAATGTGAAACCTCTTAATCTGAGATCATGCACTTTGGTTCTAAACTCTCCCACAAGGGGAATCCACATCAATCCTGCCAATCCTCTCAGACTGCCAGTTTATACATGCACTTCCATATACAGAAGTGCACTTGGAGATTTGTCTGTAAGATAATGAAGATCCTGCAGCTGGCTCTTGTGGAAATTTACACAGTGCATGGCTTCACTGATAAATGACCTGAGACTGACATAATAAGCCTCACTGTCACTTATGAAACTGCCCACATTATTAATATCAATGGAGATGTAGCCTTTGGTCTACCTGTCCAATATCAGCTCCTCTAGCTTGTGCAGATCACACGCAATATATTCCAAAGCCATGTCAGTGATGCGTGGACACCACGAGAGGTCCAAGCTGCGCAGTTTGCGTAAGTTCTCCGCCACCAGCTCCACGCCGTCGTCGGTGACCTTGGAGCAGCCGGAGAGGCTGAGGGCGGTGAGGTTGGGCAGACTGTGCACCATGTTCACCACGCCGTGATTGGTGATCTCCCAGCAGGAGTTCAGGCGCAGCGTGTGCGTGCTGTACCCTTGCTTGGCGGTGAAATAGGCCATGGCTGTGTCCGTCACATGGTAGGCCTGTAAATTCAGCTCGGTCAGGTTGGGCAGCAGCTGCGAAATGGCGGCGATGGCGTCGTCGGCTACGTTGATGCAGTCGCTGACACTCAGGGAGGTAATCCGTGCGTTAAGGCTCGACCACAGGCCTGCTTCTGTGAAATCATTGCAACCTGACAGCTCCAAATGGGCCAGCCCCTGCATCTGCTCCAACATAACCTAGGAAACAGAGAGCAAAGAGAATGTATAAAACACTGCAGCTTCCATTCCTTAACCACACATCCGTAATCACTTTAAATTGGCAACACATCTCTTATTTAGTGAGACAAAGAACTGAATTGCAGCTCCCCTCTCCCACTCCACCAACATCCCCCCCATCAGCAGACAAGGAATTACACAGAGCCCCCAGGAGGAAAGCAAACATGAGAAGATTTTTAAACAAAATTATTTATTTTCTTTCCAAAGCAAATCTTTTCCTGGTGACCTTGAATCCAGTCCATCATGATTCACAGGGCAAACCTCCGGGCCAACATTAGGACATCTGGATTTCTGTCTCAAGTAGCTCTGACATGATCATACTCAACACAGTTATTTTATCATTTAATGTCAAATATAGAACAATGAGGCCTGCAATTTATACAGATGGAATACAAGAGGTTAGGTAATGCCTGACCTTTGGTCTCAGTGGTTAATAGTTTGAATTTCATTCAAACGCAGGGCCTGTGTTTCATATTTTAATATTCTAACCAGTTAGTGGGGGCAGTCTAATCAATGTTCACTAGATGGTTTGTCATGGGACCTGTACTGTGCTTAAAAACCTGTGGGATGTGAATCATATCCAATAATTGGGCTGACCTAAAATAATATATTGAATTGCAGATGTTGCAGATCTGAAACAAAGAAAAAGACAGAAATTGCTGGAGAAACTCAGCAGTTCTGGCAGCATCGGTGGAGAGAGAAACTGAGTTAACGTTTCAAGTCCAGCGATGCTTCTTCATAGCTGTAATCGGCTGGCAGTTGTTGAAAACTGCACTGCTGTGGGATCTAAGATTGTTCTACCAGACTAGAAATAATCAGATGTTGAACAAAAGGCACCTTGTGATGGTGCTATTCGTGTGTCACTGCACTTTCAATGCAAAATCTCATCTTCATGTTTTATGAAGCCTGTATAAGAGGTTTTGTTTTGTCAGCAGTCGGCATTTTTCAGTCTGTGTCAGCTTTCGTGAAGCACCTGGTCCAACCTTTGCCAAGGTTCAAGGTGTCTGTTTACATAGGTTACACTACTTATAAAATCCCTACAGTGTGGAAGCAGGCCATTCAGCCCTTTGAGTCCACACCCACCTTCCAAAGAACATCCCACCCAGACCCACTGCCCTACCATATCCCTGCATGCCCCGTAGCTAATCCACCTAACCTGCACATCTTTGGACTGTGGTAGGAAACCAGAGCACCCAATGGAAACCTACGCAGATACGGGGAAAATGTGCAAAATCCACACAGACAGTCGCTCAACGCTGGAATCAAACTCAGGTCGCTGGTGCTGTGAGGCAACAGTGCTAAGCACTGAGGCACCATGCTGCCCTTTGTGGTTGCATGATATATCATGAGCTCTTGATCGATGGCAAGATGATACTTGCGTATGGTCCTAAACGTATGTGTTCCTGAAAAAATAGAAACCACCAAGGTAAGATAGTCACTGAGAAACCAAACTGAGAATTTAGAAGGATGTTCTTTACCCAAAGAATACTGAGAATGTGGAGTTCATTACTAGAGAGTGTGTTTTAGATGAATGGATGTATTGCAGGGGATGTGAGATAAGTACATGAGGGAAACAGGAAAAGAGGGATATGATAATCAAGTTAGAAAATGAATGTCTGAGAAACATAATCACTGGAATGGACAATTTCTCTGTTGTATATTCTTTGTAATTCTATATATACATCAAACTGCCTCATGTTGAACCAGGCTTGCCAGGTGGTGCCCTTCAGATGTTTATAACTAATTGTCTCTCTCTCTCTCACTGTCTCTCTCGCTTTCTGATGGAGAGAGATGCCTCTGGTCCTTTGTGTAATGTTGCTAATTTATCTCTGGCTCTTGCACTACATATTCAGATACAAAGGGTCTTGATATCATTATTTGCAATCTCCTGTTAATCTACCAATTGACAAGCATTTTCATTAGTCCCTAGGAATGCAAGTAAACAAATGTGTTTTGTTTGTCCTTTGTCATGTATACTGTCGGGTTCTTTTTTAACATTCACAGTGAGAAACTGACCAGGCAATTCCTTTCCAAGATAAATATAAAAGTAATACTGGTGAGGGTTTCAGTGTTCTCAGGAAGTAAACATGTCAATGCTTATATCATCCAGCTAAATCCCACTGCTTGTTGTTTATTCATTCATGGTATGTGAATTCACCATCTCAATCGTGGCAGGATTTGAATCCTTATCCTAAGAGCATTTCTGGATTCCTCGCAACATTACAACCATGCCACCATCTCCTGCCCTTTCCTGCAAACCCACACTATGAGGGGTAGAGAGAGAAATTTAATCCAGGGGATGAGGGTCTCTCCTGGAACCAGGGGACCTGGGAAAAGCTTTGTGCCAGTTCTTCTGGGGAAAGCCAATGCCAGGCAGACAGCTCAGTGGCTAATGATAGGATCCCATTGGGATTGAGGACCCCGGCGTTGGAAATCCCTCCCTTTGCGAGCTACAAGCCAAGGCAGCAGCCCCTATTTGCCTCCAAGGGGGCAGGAATGGTTGCCAGCAGTGGCCCAGAATTACTGAGGAACCTCTGGCCAGGTCAGCATTGTGTACAGCCCAACACCATCGCTGTAGCAAGTCCTGAGATGGCCATTTTGGGTTACATTGGCGAACAAGTAGAGCTTCCAGCAAGTGCACTTTCAGGACCCACTTTTTACTCAAACGTTACCCTGGGAAAACTCATCAAAAAGAAACAGCTGGCAGAGATTTCTTCAATTTAAACAAATTGCACCACGATTCGTATTTGCAGGATTTCACAGCAGTACATTTCCAGAGTGTATGCTTTTGGTCATTGGCTCATTTGGAAGGTTTTTGGTTTGTTTACACTGAAATGCCAGACTAGATGGAATCAACTAGCTCCACTCACTACTAAGTTGAATTTTATTTGCACAAATTGGAATATCTGCAATCCTTCCAGGAGACACTTATGATTTGAAAGGCAGAACGATAACTGTTTCTGAAATGATAGAGAAAATCTTAATAAACAGTGTCAAAAGTCAAACATTGGGCAGATTTTAATGCCATACTCCATTGCAAGTTTGGTGGCATGGAGACATTTAATCAGGTTGGTCAGAAACATAGAAGATAGGAGCAGAAGTAGGCCATTCGCCCCCATGAGGCTGCTCCATTATTCTCTATGATCATGACTGATCACTGATCTCAATACCCTAAGCTTGTCCTCCCCCAACATCCCTTTACCCCTATAGCCACAAGAACTACATCTACTTCCTTCTTGACAACACATAATGTTTTAGCCTCAACCACTTTCTGTGGTAGTGAAAAATGCAGCTTGTGATGGAGCTGTTCATGTGTCACTGCCCTTACAATGCAAACCCTCATCTTCATGTTTCATGAAGCCTGTGTATGAGGTTGTTTTTCAGCAGTCGGCTTTGCTCGGGCTGTGTCAGCTTTTGTGAAGCAGCTGGTCCAGCTTTTGCCAAGGTTCAAGGTTGTCCTGTTTACATAATTTTCGCTACTTGAGGTCGTATGATATATCATAAGCTCTTGATTGATGACAAGATGATGTTTGTGTATGGTCTGAACTGGATGTGTTTCTGCAAAAGCAGGAACCGTCAAGGTAAAATAGTCACTGAGAAACCAAGCTGAGGATTTAGAAGAATCTTCTTTATCCAAAGAATACTGAAAGTGTGGAGCTCATTACTACAGAGTGTGTTTTAGAAAAATGGATGAATTGCAGGGAATATGAAGTGAGTATATGAGGGAAACAGGGAAAAAGGGCTATAATTATCAAGTTATAAAATGAATGACTGAGAAACTCAATTGCTGGAATGGACAATTTCTCTGTTGTATGTTCTTTGTAATTCTATATATAGGTCTAGCTGTCTCACCTTGACCCAGGTATACCAAGTGGTGCCCCTCAGATATTTATAACCAATTCTCTCTCTCTCTCTCTCTTGCTTTCTGATGGAGAGAGATGCCTCTGGTCCTTTGTGTAATGTTAATATATCTTTGGCTCTCTCACTATGCATTCAGATAGAAAGGGTTTTGATATCATTATTTGCAATCTCCTGTTAATCTACCAATCAACAAGCTTTGTCATTAGTCCCGAGGAATGCAAGTAAACAAATGTGCTTTGTTGGTCCTTTGTCATGTATACTGTCGGGTTTTTTTTTAACATTCACAGTGAGAAACTGACCAGGCAATTCCTTTCCAAGATAAATATAAAAGTAATACTGGTGAGGGTTTCAGTGTTCTCAGGAAGTAAACATGTCAATGCTTATATCATCCAGCTAAATCCCACTGCTTATTGTTTATTCATTCATGGTATGTAGCCATCACTGGTTAGAGCAGCATTTATTGCTCATCCCTAATTGCCCAAACAGCAGTTAGGAGTCAATCCCATTGCTGTGGGTCTGGAGTCACATATAGGCCAGACCTGGTAAGGACGGCAGATTTCCAACTCTTAACAACATTAGTGAACCAGATGGGTTTTTATAACAAATGTCAATGGTAGCACGATTACCATTAGATTACATTTTTAAAAAATACTGAAATCAAGTTTCACCATCTGCACAGTGGTATGCAAATCCATGTCCTCAGCTTGGGAATCTGAATTATGAATCTCATGACATCACAACCCACTGTGTGCATCTTTTTGCATACCCATTGCAGAAGAAGATGGGCTCCAGCAGTTAGAAAAAAGCGAGCACTGTTTCTGTAACTACCCCCATCCTCAAGATAAAAGATCACTCTGATTTTATTGAATGGTGAAGCAGGCTTGAGTGGTTGTATTGTCCACTCCTTCTCTTTCCTACATTCTTGTGAGCTATCTGCCCCGACTTCTTGACACTTTAAATTGCTCAGTCGTTGTTGGCCATGCATTCAGCTGCCAAGGCCTCAAGCTTGGGGATTCCCTCCCTAAACCTTTCCACCTCTACCCGAATTCCAAGATCCCACAGCCTCCCACAGACTCCACCCTTTCCCCACACATAGTGTT